TGTTTCTTGGCTTTACATTTTTCTTCTTTTATATGTTCTTTTGCGAGTTGGTTTGTTGCGCGTAGTCTTTCTTTTAGTTCTTGCGCATAGTCATCATAATTATATGTTGGTTTAGGCGGTTTTGTTAACGCTGTCGGAATTTCGGCTTGATGTCCGTACATCAATTCGAAGGGTGTATATCCTGTAGTAGTGTGCGGCGTCGTATTATACGTGAACATCGCGAACGGTATCCATTCGTCCCAGTCTGTTTGGTCCTCATTTATATAGTGTCTTAAATATTCTGCTAGCGTTCGATGCGATCGTTCTAACGCGCCATTACTCTCTGGGTGATACGCGGTTGTTTGTATTTTGTTTATTTTTAATAGTTTGCACGTGTTTTTAAAGATCTCGCTCATGAAATTAGTTCCTTGGTCTGTCAAAATTTTTTCCGGTATTCCGTGTTCAAGAATTATCTTTGTAACAAATTCCTTGCTGATAGTATTCGCTTCTTGATTTGGGATCGGAATAGCATTACTAAATTTAGTTAAATTGTCTTGGAAGGTTAATAAATATTTATTTCCATTATTAGTAATAGTTAGCGGTCCGACTATATCTAGCGCGCATTTTTCAAATGGTTTATTAGGCGTGTCGGTAATTATTAAAGGAACTTTATTTTTTCTTGATAATTTATTTTTTTGACACGATTCGCATTTCGCGATATATTGTTCTACGTCTTTAGTTAATCCTCTCCAATTATGTTGTAAGCGGATTCTTTTAATCGTTCGTTCAATTCCTTGATGCCCTCCTATAGGTGCATCATGATACTCTGATAATATCTGTTTTTTCTCTTCTTCTGTGTATGTTGTTATATTATCAGTATCTGTTTCTTCTTCTTCTATCTTTAGAATTTCTTTATCCTTTTCTAGCGATGGTCCCGGTATCGCGTTGCGACTTAAGGCGTCGGCATTTGCGTTTGCTCTTCCAGCCTTGTGTATGATTTCGTAATCATATTCTTCGAGTTTTAATCTCCATCGGATTAATCTCGATCCGGGGTCGTTTACATTGAACAACCATATTAAAGGTTTATGGTCCGTGATAATCTTAAATTTTGTTCCATATATGTATGGTCTAAAATGTTTAACAGCCCATACAATTGCCAATAATTCTTTTTCCGTAGTGTTATAATTTTGCTCCGCCTTTGTTAATATTCTGCTGGCGTAAGCAATCGGTCGGTCGTTGCCTACCTCTCCTTGTGATAGCACTGCTCCGATCGCATAGTCGGAGGCATCAGTGGTCACAATAAATTCTTCTGTAAAATCAGGATATTTCAGCACTGGTGCAGTCATTAGTTTCTCTTTTAATGTTTCAAATGCTGCTTGCTGTTCCATTGTCCAAATAAATTTTTCCGATTTTTTAGTTAATTTTGTTAGCGGTTTTGCGATCTTTGAAAAATTCTCGATGAATTTTCTGTAATATCCAGCTAATCCTATGAAGGATTGAATATCCTTGACTTTTTTCGGCGTCGGAAATTCTTTTATTGCTGTTAACTTCGATGGGTCTGGAGATATTCCGTTTTCGGAAATAATATGACCCAAATATATTACCTTCTTGCGTAAAAATTCGCATTTGTCTGGCTGTAATTTTAAGTGAGTTTTTCGCAGTCTTTGCATAACTTCTTTTAATCGCTTGTTGTTCTCTTGTAAACTTGATCCGTATATGACGATGTCATCAAGGTAGACCAGGCATCTAAGTCCTTGTATTCCCATTAGCACTGAATTCATCAGCCTTTGAAAAGTCGCTGGTGCATTCTTTAATCCAAACGGCATTCGATTGAATTCGTAATGTCCGTAGGGAGTTGAGAAAGCTGTTTTATTTTTATCTTTTTCAGCCATTGGGATTTGGTGATATCCTGACACTAGATCTAATGTACTGAAATATTTTGCATTTCCCAGTTGGTCTAGAATATCAGTAATATTAGGCAACGGGAATGAGTCGCCTATGGTTAATTCATTTAATTTCCGGAAGTCTATGACTACTCGGAGTTTCGGTTTTCCTGATGCATCTGCTTTCTTTGGCACTACTAATAATGGTGCGTTCCATTGACTCGTGCTTGTCCTGATAATTTCATTTTGCAGCATTTTTTGTACTTGCCAATTTACTTCCGCCTTATGTTTCTCGGGTAATCGGTATGGTTTTACATTCACCGGCGCGGTGTCGGCACGCGTGCTTATCTCATGCTCGACCGTCGCGGTGCATGTCAGTGGTTCTCCTTCCAGATGGAATATTTCATTGTATTCTTCACAGATTTCTAACAGTGTTCGTTTTTCTTCTTTATTTAAATGTTGAGTTCGCAGTAGTTGTCAAATTTGTTGTTTACGAGAAATAGCATTTTTAGCCTTCCCTTTTGTTTCTATTTTATTTATGTGCTCTGTATCTTCCTCCATGTCTTCTAGTGTGACTATTGGAGTGGGCATTTCGATCTCTTTGTCTGTCGTGTTTATCATACTCACAGGACATGAAAAATTGTTTGGTTCCACCAGGCCGTTTCCAATATATACTCCTGGGGCTGCTTCGCTTGTTCCGACTATTCCTATATGATTCTGATTTACGGCTGCTTTAATGATGGTCTCGCTGCGAGGTTTCAGAATTATTTTTCTGCATGGATGTAATTTCAATATACTATCCTTTATTTTTATTTGGTTTCGTTTGTAATCGCAGGCTGCTGTTTGTTTTTTAAGGAAATCTATTCCTAAAATTCCTTCATGCTCTATTGCTATGTCATCCTTTACGACATAAAATGCATGCTTGATAGCACATTTGTTGAGTATAATTGTCGCGTACACTTTCCCTAGTGTGTATAATTTATGTCCACTGATTCCTGTGAGTGCAATTTTCTTTTCGTATACAGGTGTATCGTCCTTTAGATTTTTCAATTTAATTAGGGAAATTGTTGATCCGGAATCGTACAGCATATTTATCGTTTCGCCTTTTACTTCACGGATTGGTAATGATATCTGCAGTAGCTCGTCTTTGGCTGTGTGCGTGTTTTTTATATGCGTCACGCAATACTCTAAGGCAGGTCGCGGTTGTTTCCTTCTCGCTTCCTCCTCTTCTTCTTCTTCGCTATCACTTGGGGAGTCGGTGCTCTTTTTTCTCTGTCTATGCGGAGTCCTTTGCTCACGCTCGCTTTCTTTATGTTTTATTTGATTAACCGGCTTAGAATTATGGTTATTATTAGTGTTATTTATTTTAGGACGTCCGTTCAGGCTCCAGCATTCCTCGCGGGTGTGTCCTGTCTTTTTACAATATTTACAAAATTTATTCAAAGTATTTATTCGCGTGGATTTTTCCGGTTTTGGTAATGTATATTTATTACTGCTTCGACAATCGCGTCCGTAGTGTCCAGATTTTCCGCATTTATAACATTGTATGTTAGTATCTCGAGTTGGTCGCGTTTTAATGTCGAATTTATTTTTATAGGAGAAGCCGGATGCTCGTGTTACAGACGGGCCGATAAGCTTCTCCTCCGCGCTCGCGCCATTTATCGCTTCTTGGAGCGAAGTATATCTTTGTGATCGCACAAGAATTTTTTAATTCATCGCGTAATCCGATTTGAAAATTTATTAGCGCTTGTTTTTTTAATGGTTTCTTGTATTGCTTGTTTAAATGAAGGAGGCCGTTCTTCTCCTTCCACCATGGACTCATATAGTTTCATGGCTAACGTATCGACGTTGGCCGAATGCATGGGCGGTTTCGCTTGACTTTTGTTTTAAAGAATTAAATTCTATCTGTAAGTGTGTTGTACTTTGCTTCGCTTGATAGCAAGTTTCGAGTTGTTTTTAATTCTTCAAATGTCTGGATATTTCGCGTTTCGAAATCTTGCATGGCTTTACCTCTTAATTTAGTATATAAGATTGCTTGTATTAACGATTCTTCGTCCGCGGGATTAATATTTTGTACCGCGTACGTACAAGCGTTTAAGAATTCCTGTAATCTATGTCGCGTCGTCCCATCAAACTCGGGAATCATTGTTCGCGCTTCTTTTAATGATACATAGTGCGGGGCTGCGCTATGTCGGTTTCGTATATCGCGTTGAGTGCGTCCGTACGTTACGTCGAGTGGGACAGTGTTTGCATTTACTCGCGTTTCGTTTAAATTTGCTTGTGCGATTTGTATATCTCGCATTTGTTCGCGCATGTACTGCATTTCGGTTTGCATTTCGCGGAAACTGTGTACGAATTCGGCGAGTAATACGTTACTCGTTCCTTCGGCCGGCTGACCTGCGTCCTCATAGGCCGCGGCTGCGTTTAGTTCGGCCTGTTGCGCTCGCATGCGCTCGATTTCTCTATCGACGGCTTCGTTTTCCATATTCACTTGCGCACGTGGCTCGAATAAACTAATATCAACTGATATCGGTGAATAATTTCTCCGTACTGTAACGCGACTTGTACCGAATTATCGTTATTACTCGGTTCGTGTTCTTCAGACGAATTAGAACTCGAATAATGTTTTTCTAAATTTTTTCGCACGCTTCTACGAATATCGCGAGCAGCCTCTTCTGCTACTCGTATCGGAGTTACAGTTCCGAATCTATTCGCCAATCGTGCTGGCACGCTCAGAAATCGCGGACTCTTAAATTTTACTTGTTTTGACGGTGCTGACATTTAAATAAAGTTCGACTTACAGTAGTAGTACGGTGATTCGCATGGTCGTAACTTATCGGGTCGCTTATCGTATCGCTCGACTGTTGATGCTGCTGGTGGGTCGTTGTCCCGTGTTGGTGCGCTATCCGTCGGCGATGCGTTGTCCGTCTGCGTTGCGTTGCCTTGGCCGTGGATCGACGTTGGTCCTTGAGCGCTGGTGTTTCCCTTCAGCTTTCAGCTGCTTGGCCGTGATTTCTTTATCACTGTCGTCCGTGTGTGTTGCGTGCTGGTTGAGACTATCTGCTTTAATGTAGCAGGTGCTCTCTCCAGTTTATTAATTTTGTATTTTCTTTTTGTTGCAGGCGTTAAGGATCCAGGATGGTCCTCGATCTCGGCTATCCCACCGCTGCCACCAGAAATGTTGTGCCGGACGCGGCACAGGGTGTGGGGTAGCCGGGAATTTCAAGTTAATTCCTGGATTTTTTGTGCAACTTTTATTATAAATTTCTTTTATACAAATATATTCATTTATTCGACATTAGTCAGTTTCTTTCGAGCCCTCTCTTCGTCGTCCTTTTCTAAATCGCTTCGTTCTCAGATTTAGGATGTTTATCAATTTCGTCGGATATTTCGTCGTACTATATAATGGTTAGCCTCTCGCACTAGTTGTTTGATTTATAATTAACGACTGTCCGCCGCGGATTCGCGGTGGACGGCTTTTATTTCCTCGGTTTCGGGGGTGTTTTGGAGGGGATCGCCTAGCGACATGACCATGTATGGTCATGGGGATTCTTCGTGGCGTCCAAAGTCCAAATGCAAGCGAAGGAGGTTCAAAGTCGAATCCCTTCGTTAGCGTCTTTCGCGTTTCCGGCGAGCGTTTTCACGCGTGGTTTGCTGAGATGGCGATTTTGCACGGTTCGCGAATATTCTATTATATATTCTATTATAATGACATAATAAGTTATAGTCTCTCGGACTATAACAATATGTATATATATATATATATATATATATATATATATATATATTTTTGAGACATTATTTATTATATATATTAAAAATTATTTATTATTAAAACACTAAAAAACCTTATAACATTATTTTTCGATAGAAAATTTTTACTTTTTTTTTGGACTGTCTTTTGTAGATTGTCGCCTGGATGGAAGAGACATACTGTAATGGTTTGAAATTCGCAGATAATAATACATGGAATCAAGTTATTAGTAACATGAAAAAAATTGATCCTATGATTTTAGAATGTCTAGCTTATGTTGAGGATTATAGAATACTAATGCATTATTTGCGAACACAATTATTTGAGTTTATATTTTATACAACTTCTAAACCAACAGAGCGAGCTATGCCTTAACTGCTCATATTGTCTTTTTTACTCTTGCGAGAAATACGAATATACTTCTAAGCATATTATATAATTTCAAATATATTGTACATGGGTAACGATATTATTTCATAAAAATATATACAGAGATTCAAAAATTTATTGTTCTTATTAATTACAAATATTAATTAATTCTATATGTATTGTTTTGTTGAAATAGGAAAGTCAATGAGATTGTAGCAATAATTGTCATAATTAACAATGTGTATTCTAAGGGACAGTTGGACGAGGTAATTTTCATGAATAAAAAAGTTTCGTACTTATTTGTTAAATTTCTATTATAGTTTATTTTTTTAAATATATGGTGTTTTATAGTCGAATGTTACAAATTTTTATGATAGGTAGAGGGGTTGTGTGTGTCCACTATATGGAAGTCTATCATTTCTAGACAGTCGCGTTAAAACTACAAATTTGCGAATCTAAATTTATTGTCAAAAAATACTTAATTTTAGCCTCTCTATATCTACTATAGAAATTTATAATATTGAATGAAACAATTTGTACATATTATATGTTTTACATATAATTTTCGACATTTCATATAGAATTATTTTGTCTTTCTAACATTCTGTCAGTAATAAAATTGTGTCTGTATCATAATGCGACAAAATCATTTATTGATATTAATTGTTAAAATAATCTCCTTTACAGACTTCCTTAGAAAAGAGTATCAACAGACTTCCTTAGAAAAGAGTATCAACTGATGTTCGAATATTATTTTGAACGCAAGATACAAATTCGTTGGTCAGAGATCAAAAGACAGATAGAATATTTTCATTCTTTTATCGATTAAAAATCTAAAGATATATATTATGCGTCGCTCTACTTAGAAGTCGAAGATACAGCATGAATATTTGAGATAAGATTTTTAAATTGATATATATATAATTAATCATTATTTTCATATAACTGTAATTTTCACATTATGCATTGGCTTTCTTTGTAATACAGATTTAATATTTATATAGATATAATTAATTATATTTACGTAATCCTTTATTATAATTATATTATACATACATATATGCATATTAAATATAAACTATATATTAATATTATAAACTATATATTGTAATGTAATAATATATTAATATAAATATATATAAATAAATAATATACAGGGTGTCCGTTAATTTTCGACCTTAATGAAATAAAGAAATAGATTGGCTCGAATTAAGAAGGAATGACCTGTATTGTTTTGGGATTGTCGCAATAATTAACGAAATATTAAATAAAAAAGATCGGCCAATCTGCGTGAGTAAAAGCGCGCGGCGACGAGAGTCGTCCCACCGTAATCCGATACTACGAGCGCGACGAAGCGGTGGGCGGGTCGCTCTCCGAGACATGATGGTGGTTTGCGATATATCGCAATACCGCGCCGAAAAATGACCCGTCCCCCCTTTTCGTGGTGAGAAAATGATGCGCTATCATTTCCACACCAACTTGGTAGATAGCATGGTGCGCTTTTTTTATAGTGGTTTCCCCCAGGGGCCTATTCCACTCTCAATTTAAAAATTATTCAAAATGCCATTTACTATACGCTGAATATATCGTAAATGTAAAAAATTAATGGACAGTACCTTTACAAAAATTGATTCGTGGTTGAAAATCCCTCGATAAAATGTATTGCACACGTTGATAATGTGATACGATGATAAAATTCTTCAAGAATCCATTCTTCATCTCGTACACGAAGACGCACTGCTGGACCGGTTATCCCGATATTATGCACGACACTCAGTTTCACATAATTATTGCACAACACGTAAAATTGTACGGCCACTTGGTTTTCGTGCACGCCCGAGAAATGATTCCATGTAAATTGCGGCCGCACCATAAGTATTTTCTCCCGCTAGTCCGTATGCCACAATCATATTCGTATATTCCTGCAGAGTACACTTCATTTTCTCTGTTAATTTACTACGCAAACACAAGATTTTTATTAAAACGTCCTAGCTCTCGCACGCTGTTACCAGACTGCGTACACCAGCAGCACGCAACTACAGCTGACAGCTGAGCGGACATGTGAGTGTAAGCGTACGTGTGAGTTCGACGCCTGCGCACTATGATTACACTCACTGTCCGCTCAACTGTAGTTGCATGCTGCTGGCGTACGCAGTCTGGCAACAACGTGCGAGAGCTAAGACGCTAAGTAAAAATTTTATGTTCGCGCAGTTAATTACCAGTGAAAATGAAGTATATTCCGCAGGAATATACGGACATGATTGTGGCATACGGGCTAGCGGAAGAAAATACTCATCGCGCGGCCGCAATTTACGCGGAACGATTTCCCGGGCGTGCACAAAAACCAAGTGGCCGTACAATTTTACGTGTTGTGCAATAATTATGTGAAACTGAGTGTCGTGCATAATATCGGGATAACCGGTCCAGCAATGCGTCTTCGTGTACGAGATGAAGAAAGGATTCTTGAAGAATTTTATCATCGTATCACATTATCAACATGTGCAATACATTTTATCGAGGGATTTTTAACCACGAATCAATTTTTGTAAAGGTACTGTCCATTAATTTTTTACATTTACGATATATTCAGCGTATAGTGAATGGCATTTTGAATAATTTTTAAATTGAGAGTGGAATAGGCCTATGGGGGAAACCACTATAAAAAAAGCGCACCATGCTATCTACCGCAAGGTGGTGTGGAGATGATAGCGCATCATTTTCTCATCACGAAAAGGGGGGACGGATCATTTTTCGGCGCGGTATTGCGATATATCGCAAACCACCATCATGTCTCGGAGAGCGACCCGCCCACCTCTTCGCCGCGCTCGTAGTATCGGATTATGGTGGGACGACTCTCGTCGCCGCGCGCTTTTACTCACGCAGATTGGCCGATCTTTTTTATTTAATATTTCGTTAATTATTGCGACAATTCCAAAACAATACAGGTCATTCCTTGTTAATTCGAGCCAATCTACTTCTTTATTTCATTAAGGTCGAAAATTGACGGACACCCTGTATATGTATATACACAGTAAAAAATTTTGTGTTAAATTTAACATATTTCACATGTCCCAATTTATCCATTCTAATTTTAATGTTAATTTAACAGAAGGCAAGTATCTAAATAAATAACACAAGTAATATGTTTAAAAATTAACACAAAGGTGTAACACTTAAACTTTATCTGGAAATAAAGTTTATGTTAAATTAACACATTTATAATGTTAAATTTAATTAAAACAAAATGTTATTCTTACATTTTTACGATAAATAACAGAAGAGATATATCGTTTTAACATATGAAAATTGTTATAGAGAGAAAAATAACACAACTTATCTGTTCATTTTAACATATAACATATTTCATCAAAAATTCGTGCATTTACATACTAATTGTGTTGTTTCAACTCTTAGACACGGTGAATATTAACTCAATGCAGAAATGTCAAAATAACGCAATGATAATATGTTACATTAACATAAAACTATGTTAAAAATTTAACACAAAAATTTTTACACGAGAAAATTTTAACAGAAATACAAAATGTTTTTTATCGTGTATATATATAAAATTATAAACTATATATATATATATATATATATATATATATATATATATATATATATGTTAAACGTTTACAACGGGGACATAATTTCAGGCGAATGAATGTTTTGGAGACTTTTGTATACTTTAGGGTCAAGACTCAAAGTATCCATATATCAAATGTATGATTTGGGAACATTATGTGTATATTGGGTTGGGGAAAAAGTTTCTTCGTATTTTCCGGCAGATGGAATTAGAATCGCATAACCTTGATAATATTAATCGGATCTGTCAATACTTTGTGTGCGTTTGAAAGGTGACATATCATAAAGAAAAAGTAGCAAAAAAGTAGTGATATTTATCTATTCAGTTAAAAGTTATTGCATCTTGAAAATGAGTGAAGAGAAAGAAGAAATTCGATACATTTTAAAATTTTATTTTAAAAAAGGGAAGAATGCAACTCAGGCAGCTAAAAAAATTTGTGATGTTTATGGACATGATGCTGTATCAATACGTGTTGCACAAATCTGGTTCAAGCGTTTTCAATCTGGAAATTTTAACGTCAAAGATACACCTCGCTCTGGTCGACCGATCACTGAAAAAGTCGATGAAATTATGGAAATAATTGAACAAGACCGGCATATTAGCAGTCACGAAATCGGTAAGCAACTGAACATCGACCACAAAACAGTTTTAAACCATTTGCAGAAAGCTGGATACAAAAAAAAGCTCGATGTTTGGGTGCCACATGATTTAACAGTCAAAAATTTAATGGATCGATTTTCTATCTGCGAATCATTGTTAAAACGAAACGACATCGAACCATTTTTGAAACGGCTCATAATAGGCGATGAAAAATGGATCACGTATGACAATAATGTACGAAAAAGATCGTGGACAAAGCGAAATGAAGTTCCGCAAACTGTGGCAAAGCCAAAATTGACGCCAAGAAAAGTGATGCTGAGTGTGTGGTGGAATTACAAAGGAATCGTTCACTACGAGCTGCTGCCGTCCGGTCAAACAATTGATTCTAACCTTTACTGTCAACAACTGGAAAGATTACGCCAGGCAATTGAGAAAACGCGACCAGAATTGATCAATAGGAAAGGCGTCGTCTTTCATCACGACAACGCGAGACCTCATGTATCTATAGCGACTCGTCGACGTGTCAAAAATTAAGAGAACTTGGCTGGGAAGTTTTGATGCACCCACCTTATAGTCCTGACCTTGCACCATCAGACTACCATTTATTTCAGAGCTCGGCAAGAACTGCACATTTCGGCCGATTTTCAGCTGGCTCCGCCTAGCGCGTCCCCCCTTACCTCGCCGTCCCGCGCAAAGCCTACGAGTCGCTCGGCGCTCAGGAGCGTATGGCAATAGCTTTCCACGTCACCCATACTATTATCGACGCGTTTTTTTTTAAGTGGTATCCCCAGTAGGCCTAATCCACTGATGACTAAAATGACTCTTTAACTAATTACATAAGACGATAAAGTTTATCACGTCTTATGCGATTCGCTACATGCCGTATGCAAATAAATGTTTCTGATCTCGCTTGTAAAAAATCCCGAAAGTCATAAATATTCATCATATCAATTATTATTTATAATTCCGTGCAATTAGTTAAAGGGTCGTTTCATCAGTGGATTAGGTCTACTGAGGATACCACTTCAAAAAAACGCGTCAACAATAGTACCTCATGGGTGACGTGGAAAGCTATTGCCATACGCCCGCTCCTGAGCGCCGAGCGGCTCGTAGGCTTTGCGCGGGACGGCGAGGTAAGGGGGGACGCGCTAGGCGGAGCCAGCTGAAAATCGGCCGAAATGTGCAGTTCTTGCCGAGCTCTGATTTATTTCGATCTCTACAGAACTCTCTTAATGGTACGAAGTTGGCTTCAAGAGAGGTCTGTGAAAATCACTTGTCACAGTTTTTCGCCCAGAAATCACACAAGTTCTACAGTGACGGGATTATGGTTTTACCTCAAAGATGGCAAAAGGTGGTCGAACAAAACGGCACATATTTAATTTCATAAGCTTCATTTCAAATATGAATAAAATTTGTTTCATTTTTGTAATAAAATACGAAGAAACTTTTTCCCCAACCCAATATATTAAATGCATAATTTGAGCCCTATATAATTCACCGATAAATGGCACTATTAGTACTATAATGATACACGGAGAGAGACCTCAAATTATACTTTATATATGTAAAATAAAATTTTCATTTATATTTAGAGGATATCGATTTAAACAATTTAAATTTCTTAAACTTTTTGATAAACAAATTTTGAAACATTAATTTATGGCTTCAAACTATGCATTTTATATATATTACGACCTTAAAGTACGCAACTTGCATACTTTAAGATCGTAATATGTATAAAATGCATAGTTTGAAGAATGCATAAATTGTATCATTAAATTTTAAACAAGAGTGTTTTGTGCAAGAAATTTTAAAAGAAATCATTAAATCGATTATTATTTATTTTGTAGGCAATATATAACACATACACTTGAGAGATAATGAATTTTGTATATTTTATATTTTATTTGGGCAATGTATAATATATTAATTGAAATCACAGTCTCGTTTACTTTTGAAACATTCTAGTATATTCTCTCACTATCAGTGAGATACATAACAATATAGTTTTATTAAAAACTGAAAATAATGTCATATTCATAATATTACTTTAATCGTAAAAGTTTTATTAATTTATTAAGATTATTTTCAAAAGAAAATGAAAAATATTAAAATTTTTATTTTTATTATAAGATATCGCGTGTACGTGTATTACTTCTTACGATATTCGGCCTTTAGCACGCACCTGGAGTGAGAAAAACGCATCAACATATAAATGTGGACGGAACATTGTATTAAACAAATACGCACTCGCTGCAGAGAGAGAGAGAGAGGGGCCTATATTGTCCCTTTTACTAACATCTTCTTGATAACTTTTTTTTATATCGATGAAAATTACCAATGAGATGTTACATGTGCCTTTTATGTATCATATATCTCTCTCTCTACAGCTGGCGCGTGTTTGCCTATCGCGATGTTCAGTCTATTTTATATGTGATGCGTTTTTCTCATTCCAAGTGCGTGCTAGAGGCCGAATATTGTAAGAAGCAGTCGTCTAGCGTTCGCTTTATTTAGGACGAAAAGAATAAGTTTCATTATTTTTTAAGTTTCATTATTTTGATTACGCAATGCTTCGAAGCATCTCTAGCGTTTCCCAGATCGCAGTCAATAATGTCAGATTCTGGTCGCTGATATAATAGCATTCGGTATCATGACGCACACAAGCACGTACGTATGCGTTCGAGACTTTGGGCAACATCGGCCAGTAAAAGGTTGTCTCCCCTTCTCGAGTTGTACGTAGCTATGCAAATCCCGAAATCTCGAACAGATGAATTGGCGATGAGACGTGCAATGTTTATTATAAATCTTTATCTTATAAACTACTATATATTGTACAACATAGTAGTATATGCAAAAATAAGTTTTAAATAAATAGATTTGATTTGATAACAAAAAGTTAAAAATAAATATAACTCTTAGATAATTAATTTTTAATTAAATAATAATTAATTTAAAATAATTATTATTAATCAAAAGAATGAATATTTACGTTTTAATATATTATATTTTTAAATATGAAATTCTACACTTAATTTAGCTAACGTGAACGTTTTTTTTAAATAAATGTCTTATTAAAATAGTTTTAAAAATTGTTTGACAAAAATGAAATAAAAGTAAGATTAAAATAGTTTCTTTTTAATCAGATCAATATTCTCATTATTTTATTTTATAAATGTATAACGTACATATTGTTTGATGGAAATCGTAAGAAGATGATAGGTAGGTGATGATGTAGTAGATGATGGTAGGTTTTATATTTCCCTCTTCCATCAAGATGGAAATATAAAAAATTGTTATTAATTCAATATTATTGCTTTATATACATATATGTATGTACATATTATATGTATATATATGTATAAAATCATATAGATAATCATTTTACACGCTTATATTTTTTATAAGCGTGTTTTTGATGTCTTTTATAGGCATGGTGTTCTTTACAAATAGAATTACTTTTTAAGAGAAGGAACCTGTACGTGTGTGTGTGCTATAGCAATAACATTTGCAACAATTTACAATGTAGCCTTAAAATATTTTATCTTTTTTTAAGCAGCAGTAACATATAATTTGCCCGCCGATAAGAAATAAATGCTTTTCATTAATTTTCATGTTTATAGTTATTTCGCCTCTCATTTTCAACGCTGATTTTATCGAATTAAGAAGTGGCATTAACATATGTTAAAGAGAATTTATTGCAATTTTTTTCAGATTTTAAGTCAGTTAAAATCCAAACTGTCTTCTTTGGATGTGCATTTGAATTAGGAAATAATCAATATATTTCTCAAAGTGGAATATTTATATTATTTGACAATTAGCGCTGCAAAAGATTCCTTTCACATATCATTAAAATTTAATTTTGATATTTTGTTTTTTTTCCAAAGTTAAATCTGCTGTAATATAAGCCATTATTTTTTTAAGAATTCTTCTTCATCGAAGCTATCCAGAATTCCCGTAATAAAAAAAAAATATTTAATATATAATAATATTTCTCTATAATCGACTAAAGATATAGATAGTCCAAAAACTTGTAATTTTATCAAACCACAAATCATTTGTAATGGACAATCTTTTATGTATTTTTTGTGTAGTTAGATAAAATTGTAAACAATTCTTTTGAATAGTTATAATATATATTGTATTCACCTAATCTTCCATCGTTACATTATTAAGATACTCCTCAGATTCTGATCTGACAATGAGTGCTGTTCAGTTTCTAATTCAAGTGTACATCGGAAGAAAAACATTTTGGATTTTAATTAATTGATTTAAAATCTAAAAAAGAACGCAACAAACGCCCTTCAACATGTATTAATGCTACTTCGATAAAATCAGCGTTGAATATGAGAAGCGAAACAGTTATAAACATGAAAATTAATGAAAAACATTTATTTATTATGTCGGCGGGCAAATTATACGTTACTGCTATTATAAAAAAAGATAAAATATAAAAAGCTAAAATATTTTATATTGATAAAAATATTTTAAGGCTACATGTTGCAAATGTTATTAATACAGCATACAAAAAAAGTCCCTTCTTTTAAAAAATAATAAATTCTGTCTATAAAACACTATGCCTATAAAAGATGCTCAACACCTCGTTTATATAAGATATAAGCATATAAAGAGATTATTTATACGATTAAATATATGTATGTTTACATGATATATACATGTGACGTATACATGTGATGTATACATGTATATGTATGTGTGTACGTAAGATAATAACGTTGAATTAATAACAATTTTTTTATATTTTCTTTTTAATAGAAGAGATTATCATCTTTTTGAGGTTTCGTCGAACAACATGTGTATCGTACATTTATAAAATAAAATGATGAGAGAATGTTGATCTAATTGAAAAGAAATTATTTTAATCTTGCTTTTATTTTATTTTTGTTGGACAATTTTTAAATATATTTCAATAAGACATAAAAAAAGCATTAGCTAGACTAAGAGTACGATTTTATATTTAAAAATATATTTAATATGCTAAAAAGAAATTATTCATTCTTTTAATTAATTATTATTTTCAATTATTTAATTCATATTTAAAATATATTTTATTTCAATTTTAAATATTTTATTATAAAATCAAATCTATTTATTTGTGTAAAAATTATTTTTGCATATGTTACTATGTTGTACAATATATAGTAGTTTATAAGAGAAAGATTAATAGTAAATATTTCACGTCGCATCGCCAATTCGCCAGTTCGAGATTTCGAATCTCGCATACAACTCGAGAAAGAAAAAGACAAAAGATGTGTTTTTCCACTGGCCGACGATGCCCGAAATCTCGAGCGCATGAGTATGTATACGCTTGTGAAACATGATACCGCATGCTACCGGATCTGCTCCGAAATCTGGCATCATTGTGCGCCGTAGCCTCAGTTTCACGAGCATGTCCAAACCAGTGGCACTGTGACGTTATATACATGCGGAAGAAAAATCTGTCCTAAATATCTATCTATATTTACTTATTAATGTAAAAGTATAAAAGTCACACAAATATATGGTCTCAAATAATC